TCTAAATACTTAGGAAACTCATAATTAGTAATAAGATACGTAATATTTTAAAAGTATAGGTAATAATTTTCAGTAATTAGTTGTAAGCTACGTAATTTTTCAATAAAGATAGTTCAGATAAACCTTTTCCAACATCCAATTTACATAGCGCATATATAAACCTGTCAAAACGGGCTTAGCCCACGGGGCCGACCTAATCCAACCGGTTATTGGGGTAAGATTGTGATAGAATTTTTCAAACCCGTTTAAAACTAGGGCTTCTAAGCCCGACCCATATAAGCCCTTGACCCTTGAAGCTTGATCAGGACTGAGCTGGGGTCGACCCATGGGCCAAATTTTTTTACTTAAGGGTAACTTACAATAATCTCACTAGTATATAATCTAATTATTTAAATACACACTATGTTGTAATATTATGAATCTTACCAGATTTTGGTGCGTCCAGATACGTGCATCTTAGAATATATGGACTCAAAATTAGGTTAATTTGTTCTCGATACACTCTATCCAAGTAGATTCGCATGTATCTAGGATACATAGACAAATTTTGCGCCCTCACTTCCATCTCATCTTGCTTGTCACTCTCTTATCTCGCTCGCGTATCTAGTATGCGAGATACATGTTAATTACACTAGATTTTTTGCTAGTGTTATTGAAACAACACCATTTTGTCATATTTGATTTGAAAATCTTCTCATTTTCTTGATGTTATAAAATTACAAGTTTGAAAAGAAAAAAAAGGCTAGCCCAACCCAATCCTTCTAGGGTTGGGTTGGGTTGGGTTGAACATTTTTAGACCCTTCCAAATGAAAGGCCGGCCTTGGGTCGGGTGGAGCTGGACCGACCCTTTTTGACAGCTCTTCCTATATACAAACTTGTTTGGAATAATATTTTTTTATTTAAATATTAATTTAATAATAAAAAAAAAAATTTGAAGAAAATATTTGATACTCTAAGAACATCACACTTAAATTAGTAGGGCCGCGTAAGGCTGCGTGAATAGCGACAAGACAACATAGATATCAAATGAGAATTGCACATGACCGGTTGACAAGCGCGTCATACGGTCAGAGACAACCTTACATAATTAAATACTAGAGTACGTAACATCTTTTCAAAACAAAAAACATAATAGTATCTTTATATAGTCAACAAAAACTCTTTAAAATTAGAAAACATTTAAGGCAGAGTGTGGAAAGATAAAAGGAATGACGTACTAATTTAGCTTATGAAAATAAACCACCGACCAATTATTTTCATGGAACTAAAGACTTTTAAAGAGTACTCCATTAGTTTATACTCCCTCCGTCCCTATTTACTTGTCCATATTTCCTTTTTTAGTTGTCCCTATTTAGTTGTCCATTTTGACAAATCAAGAAAGGACAACAAATTTTTTCCTATTATACCCTTATTTACACTTCTTGAAAATTGTAAAAGTGTATGTTGTTTCCCTCCAATTTATTTCACTTTAATTCAAATAAGTGGTTGTAATTTTGAAGTGAAAAGTTGTCATAAGGGTAAAATTGTAACTTCACTGTGTTAATCATTGTTGTTTTAATCTGTGTGTCATTTCTAAAGTGGACAACTAAAAAGGGATGGAGGGAGTTGACAAAACCAGCAGCATAAGCTGCAAAACAATATACTTCCTCCATTAATGGAGGTTGAGCTTTCACCAACAATCAGAGAAGAAGAAGAGAAAAGATATTATTGAGAATGTGAAAACTGAACTGTAACCAATACAATGTATGTGTATATATACACACTGATATAGTTCTCTAACAAACTCAACTAACTATGAATTGTAAACTTGTGACTCCTAACTAACTAACTAACTAACTAATTCTGTGAATTGAACAGTACACTAAAACTAACTAATCTTATCACCCCCCCTCAAGTTGGAGGTGAATTACATACAGACAACTTGCTCAATAAATTAGTATGCTTGACTCCAGTTAAGGCTTTAGTAAAGACATCAGCTAATTGCGCATCTGTGGGAATGTATTGGAGTGTGATCAATCCTTGTTGCAGCTTATTTCTGACAAAGTGACAATCCACTTCTATATGTTTAGTTCTCTCATGGAAAACTGGATTCTTAGCAATGTGCACTGCTGCTTGACTATCACAAAAAACATGTATAGGTAAAGAACATTTTACTGATAGCTCATCAAGTAATCTTTCCAGCCATACTATTTCACCCACAACTTGTCTCACAGCTCTATACTCTGCTTCTGCTGAGGATAGTGACACTGTGGGCTGTTTCTTAGACTTCCAACTAATGGGACTATCACCCATGAGAACCAAATAGCCACTCACTGACTTCCTTGAGTCAGGACAAGAGGCCCAATCTGAGTCACAATAAGCACTGATGGTGAGGTCAGGCTTATTAGAGATGAAAACTCCTAATGTAGGGTCCTGTTGTAGATATCTGAGCACATGATAGGCTGCCTTCAAATGGGGCTCTCTAGGAGATTGCATGAACTGACTGAGGTGCTGCACACTATATGCTATATCCATCCTTGTGTTGGTGAGAAAGTTAAGTTTCCCCACTAGTTTTCTATAGTGAGTAGGATCTGATAGTGGTGTGCCTTCTGTAAGTCTCAGCTTTTCATTAGAATCCAATGGGGAAGTAGTAGTTTTGTAACCCAGAGAATCAAATTCTTTCAAGAGATCAAGAGTAAACTTCCTTTGGGATATAAGAATACCATCCTGTCTGTACAAAATTTCCAGACCAAGAAAATAATGCAGCCTGCCCAAATCTTTTATTCTGAACTGATCATGTAAGAACACCTTTAAAGAAGTGATCTCATCTATATCAGTCCCAGTTAGAATGATATCGTCAACATATACTGCAACAAAGACCAGGGAGCACCCATTCTTTCGATAAAACAATGAATAATCACTGTTAGAATGAGTGTAACCTTTTGAGTAGAGGCTGCTGGCCAGCTTGTCATACCACTGTCTGCTGGCCTGCTTTAAGCCATACAATGACTTCTTCAATTTACAAACCATATTACTACTGTCCACTGCCAGTCCCTGTGGTAATGCCATGTAAACTTCCTCATTTAAATCACCATGAAGGAAAGCGTTGTTAACATCCAATTGATACGTTCCAGCCTCTCTTGACTGCTAAAGAAATCAGAGTCCGAACAGTGGTCATCTTTACCACAGGTGAGAATGTCTCATTATAATCTACTTCAGCCTGCTGAGTGTACCCCTTTACCACCAATCTGGCCTTGAACCTCTCTACACTACCATCTGCCTTGTGTTTAATCTTGTACACCCATCTACACCCAATAACATTCTTCCCTTTAGGCAAACCAACTAGTTCCCAAGTGTCATTTGCATACAAGGCATCAAATTCCTGTGTCATTGCCACTTGCCAGGCAGGATTCAAAATTGCCTCTTCATAAGAAGAAGGTTCAATATCATGTGAAACATTATTGATCAACTGCTGACTATTAGGACACAGACTAGTGAAACATACATGATCAGGGTAAGAAATGAAAGATGTGAGTGAGTGGTGTGGATCAGAAGTGGAAGAAGACAAGTTAGGTATTGTATAAGTGTAGTCTTTCAGGTAACTTGGGGTGTGAAGGTGCCTAGTTGATCTTCTAGGTGCAAGTGGAGCATCAACAAGGGTAGAGGTGTTAGTGATAGGTCTAGGTGGAGACATAAGGACTGTAGGTTCAGTAGTTTGTGCATTAGTATTTGTGGAGACATGGTTAGTAGTGACTTCAACTAATGTGTCATCATTCAACACTTCATCATTAACAAAATTATTTGCTTTACTAGGCATGCAAGGTAATGTATCAGAATGGCTTACAAGGGATTTCAAGACAGAACTAAAAGTGGAACCAACAGGAGCAGTAACAAAAGGAAAAACAGCTTCATGAAAAATAACATCTCTGGACACATGAATTCTCTTGGTAGCCAAGTCGAGGACCTTGTAGCCTTTTGTATTGAAAGGGTATCCAATGAAGACATGTGGTGTTGCCCTTGGTTCAAACTTGTCCTTATGAGTTTTCAAGGTAGTTGGAAAGCAAAGGCATCCAAAACTTCTAAGGTGGGAGTAAGTTGGTGTTCTTTGATATAGTAGTTCATATGGGGACTTGTTTTGTAAGAGTTTAGTAGGTAGCCTATTAATAAGATATGTGGCTGTCAGGACACACTCTCCCCAATATTTCATAGGCAGTTTTGATTGGAATAGAAGTGCCCTTGCTGTTTCAAGGAGATATTTGTGCTTCCTTTCAACCACACCATTTTGTTGTGGTGTATAAGGACATGATCTTTGGTGTATTATACCTTTTTCTTGAAAGAAATTAGTTGCTTCAGTACTTGTAAATTCCAGACCATTGTCAGATCTGATAATTTTCAATTTGGTATGGAACTGATTTTCTATAAGGGAAATGAAGGCTTTTATGGTCTGCAATGCATTACTTTTGCATCTTAGCAGTTGTGTCCAGGTTGACCTACTATAGTCATCCACCATAGTTAAGAAATAATGGTGACCATCATGGGTAGGTGTGTGGTATGGTCCCCATAAGTCAATGTGAAGCAGTTCAAAGATTGTACTGGTTGTGGTTGTACTTTCTGGGAAGGGCATCCTAGTTTGTCTAGCCATAGGACATATTGTGCAAGTGAAGGGTTGTTTACTGGAAAAGTTCAGAGGTATGGTGGAGATAGTTTTCATTTTTACAAAAGGTACATGTCCCAATCTAGCATGCCATAAAAATTCAGTGTCATGAACGTGAGTAAAGTCAGTACCAGAAGAGGAATTAACAGCAGAACATAAAATATGATCAACAACACAAGCTTCTTTATTGATGGTATGAAAGTATTTTACATTTTCAGATGGACTTTGACATTTATTTCCAACAGAAGCTATCTTACAGTAGTTAAAAGAAGAAACGGGTTGACATCTGACATGAGAACCAATATTGCCATCTGCAGGTGGACAATTGTGACATTTTGGACAGAAAAAATACAGACCATTCTTGGCCTTACCAAGTGCCAGAGGGCTCTTCAGAGAAGGGCCCTGCAGTAAACAAGAAGAGCTGTTAAAGCTAACTATTCCCTTGAGTTGAAGAGCTAAACAGTGAACAGATATCAAATTGAACTTGAAGCTAGGTATAAACAAAACTTTGTACAAAGTCAGTGTAGAAGTCAAACAAACATCACCAATTTCAGTCACTTTAACCTTGTATCCATTTGGTAATGTAATGAGGAAAGGATAGGGTAGTGTTCTAAGGTTTGTAAGGGCATCTTTTGTGTAAGTCATGTGGTGTGATGCTCCTGAATCTATGATCCAAGAGCCAGCAGTTAATCTAATACATTTACATGACAAATCACCTATCTCATTTATAGAAGAATAGCAAGCAAGTATACCTGCTAGGTTCACTGATCCACCTGCCATGCTTCCTGAGCAATCAGATCCAACTTGCAGAGTTCCAAGTAGATTAAGTAGCCGCTCATACTGACTTTTGGACAGGTTCAATGGAATTTGTCTTTCCTGCTCAGTAGTTTCCTCACACTGGCCTCTATCATCCTCAGAGGCATGCACATTTGCTGCAGATCCTGAGCCCTTTCCTCTTGGAGCTTTTGTGTTGGTTGGATAACCATGAAGCTTATAGCACCTATCCTTAGTGTGTCCAATTCGTTTGCAGTACTCACAGAACAAATTTGACCTGTTCCCAGTACTGGAATTTCCCCTGAAAGTATTAGAACTGCTGTTATTGGAACTGCTTGCACCTCTGCCTGTACCTCCTCTATTGTAGTTCGTATTAAAGCCTTTGGATCCTGCATTGTATTGTGGTGACACAGATGCATTTAGAGAGGTGGATTCCAAGGCCATGTGACTAGGAGGCTTCATTTCCCTTTGCCTTTCCTCCTGTGACAAAATGGCAAATGCTTGTGCCATAGTTGGTAGATCAGACATCATGAGGATGTTTCCACGTACAGCAGTATACATCTCATTTAGGCCCATCAAAAAATGTATAAGTCTTCTATCTTGCTCAGCCTTATGCATCTTAGTTTTTCCACCACAAATACACACACAAGTGCATTGAGAATTGATATCAAGAGTGTTCATTTCTTCCCATAACTTCTTCATCTTAGTATAGTAACCAGTGACATCCAAATTACCTTGCACAAGGTCATTTATCTCCTTCTGTAGTTGATAGAGTTTGCAGCCATTAGTTTGGTCATATCTATCCTCCAACTCCTCCCAAAGCTCCTTAGCATTATTGACATATTGCAAGCTATCTCGCAGATCTGGTGATAGAGAATTTAAAATCCAAGAGGTCACCATGTCATCACACCTTTCCCACTGCATGAAGATTGGATCTGCAGAGTTTGGCTTCACGATTTTTCCATTTATAAATCCAGTTTTACTCTTAACAGATAAAGCCCTAAGAACTGCTCGTCTCCATGACCTGTAGCTAGTTCCGTCAAAAGCAACAGGAAGTAAAGCAGAACCTGCATTCTCTGAGGGATGCAAATAGAATGGGCTATTGAAATCCAATCGAGTTGAAGTGTTGTTAGCAGTCGCGTCACCTGGAGCGTCTCCCATAGAAGAATATGAAGGAGAATGCAATTACAGAAGAATTATGAAGATGAACTCACAATGAGCAAATTCGAAACAAAAAAAAACAGAGGAACGATAGTGAGATCGTTCAGAGAAAGTCAGGGAGGAAAATGTCGGCAAATCGAACTGAATACAATGTTCACGATGAGAGAGAGGAGCAGGAATCTCACTGCTCTGATACCATGACAAAACCAGCAGCATAAGCTGCAAAACAATATACTTCCTCCATTAATGGAGGTTGAGCTTTCACCAACAATCAGAGAAGAAGAAGAGAAAAGATATTATTGAGAATGTGAAAACTGAACTGTAACCAATACAATGTATGTGTATATATACACACTGATATAGTTCTCTAACAAACTCAACTAACTATGAATTGTAAACTTGTGACTCCTAACTAACTAACTAACTAACTAATTCTGTGAATTGAACAGTACACTAAAACTAACTAATCTTATCAGGAGTAATATTGATTGGATCATATTTATATAGACATTTTTTGAAAATATATTATCTTATCGAAATGAGTGATTTATTTTATTGGCCTAAATTGAAATCGGAAAAAAATATTATTTTAGAGAGATTATTAATTTACTGAATATTAATTTAGTGAGGTTTTATGGTATCCTAGTTATTGAATCAAAGTGTGAACATGCTATACAAACATATTGTGGAGGAATAGACTATCTTGGGGGTGTTAAATTTACTGTCTCGGTGAGTCAAAATGGATTGTAAAAATTAATCGGACGGAAATGAGTTGGGATAAAAGCTGAATCATAACTTAGCTCACTCAATTTTCACTTAATTTTAATGGTTTTTTTTAAGTATGTAATAGATCGTTTTTTCTTTATATATTATGTCTATAAATAACAATATCAAACAAAATTTCACATTTGTCAATTTTGGCTATATGTCAATGATTGAATGGATTGATGATCCATCCTTAATTAAACGAATTGTGCTTATCATATTTTATGAGCTAATTTGATCACTCTGCATGTGCTTGGCAGTTAGTAAATGAACGAATCAATTGGATGAGAGAATGTTGATAAAGGGTTAGATAAAAAAAAAAAATTAAAATCAAATCTCATGTTAAAAAAAAAAGATGGAGGGATGATAATATTAATTCGAGTCTGCTGAATTCATAGTGTGTCCTTAAAAAAAGAATGAATAAGCCATAATAGTGTAATGATATTTCAAACTCCATTGTAAAACACATACAAAAATCAGTTAAAGTCACACTTCGAACTTCCCTTGCAAGTGCATATAACATTGCTAAAAAGAAGGAGAATATTTTAGAAATATAATTTGTAAGAGAATTTGAAGGTTGGGTACGTTCAATATGAACAACTCTACAAGGTGGCTTTGCGTGGAAATATGAGTTTAGGGAAACGGCTATGCACAGTAAAATAATGAAAAAAAACAACAATGAAGGGGAAACTAAAATATTAGAGTGAAGTGTAAATAATACCCCTATATTATCGTTTTCTTATTGAATTTTATATCTAAATTATTAGATGTGTGAGTTTTATATCTAAATTATCATTCATTAGTTTTACAAACACACATCTCTCTTTTATTACACTCTATTGATTCACTTTTATTCAAAAAAATTGTCACATGATCCTTTACATGGTCAAAATATTTCACATTGAGAAAAACTAAATAAATTATTAGAATTAATTAAAAATTAAAGATTAAAGTATCACTATCCAAAAAAATAAAATAAAATTTAAAACATCTCTCTTAGCCCCAACACCTCCCCTCAATTCCAGCCCCTTCCAAAATAAATAAGATACTATTTGTTTAATCTATCCTCCCCTCCCCCCCCCCCCCCCTTTTTTTTTTCCTTTTCATTTTTTTTTTCATTTTGGGTTAAATATATAAATGTTTTTAGGGAAGTATTTTCTACTTGCGGCAAGATTTTTTTTGAAAATAAAATTTTCATTATTATTATATTCGATACGCAAAAGGAGAAAATAACTTTCCGAAAAGCATATGAGCGCATATATATATATATATGTGTGTTTTTTTAAAAATATGTGTGTGAATTGTCGGGAGGGGGTTAGTTGAAAAAAATCATTTCCTTTTGGGATTGTGATAGTTTAATGTTTAATTAATATTAATAGTTTATTTAATTTTTTTAAGGTGGAAAGATTTATTTATGTGAATGATATGTGGTAAAAAAAATTAAAATAAAAAAGAGTGTATTACACACATTCAAAGTGTGTTTCTCAAATTAATGTGGTGATAATTTAGGTATGAAACTCACTCTCTCAACACTTAAAGTATGAAACTAAAAAAAGAATAAGATAGTTTAGGTATGTATTTTGACACTTTTTTTTAAAATCAAAATTTGTAACTGGGTTTTAGCTCTGGAAATTTATTTGTAAACCAAACTAGATTTATTTATGATATATTGCCACGTATAGGTCCAAAATCTGTTAAATTTGTGTGTTTTAACAAGATAATAACTGAAGGTACTATTAAACTAGATCTTCATCCTAAAAAAAATATAATGAAATGTCAAATTTGTGTACTGTTTTAGCAAGATAACATTTTTTTTTTTTTATAAAATAGAGATAACATAAGCAGGTCGGGGCTCATGGGCGAACCCAAGATTTAAAGACAACGTGACACTACTAAAGGCAAATGCAGCTTAGTTGAAGCACCAACACTTAATCGAAAAATATTGCCAAACATAACATAGTACACTCTATGACCGAATAGTATTGTCCCTAAGTATACACTGTGAAATTGCTAGTTCAAATCTCACTTGGGGTTTTTCAATATGATTTTTCTTGAAAAAAATTGACAAAAAGAAAATATTTTAGGGTGCAAACTTAATTATATGATCCTTATTTAGAAATATATAGATATATATATATATATATATATACTTTTCGAAGTGAACAAGTGCATATGCACCCACTCCCTCAAAGGTGGGTCCGCCCCTGGCGGGGGGTGGGGGGGGGGGTTGAAGCCCCATTGTCATTCCTAACCACTAACTCGTTGATAACTAGCATTTCCCACATAATCTGTTAGACGTTGGGCTAACTTGTTCAGTTACCATTAAGTTCAAGGGTGATTTTTAAAGCTGAAGCAATATTAAGTATGGAATGAAAGCAAACCTACTAATTCCACCCATATTCCTAGTTTTTGTACAAAAATCAAATACATTGCAAAGAATGGGGGTTTTGGCGAAAGGCTGAAACATCAGTCAAACCATTGCGACTAATTTTACATGCTACATCAGATCAGAAGCATCATCGTGCTAACGTAACTTCATCCTTTCAAGTCAAGCAGCAACCACTCTTTTGGTTAACAGGTTGTCCACGGATCTGCACAGTTGGAGGCCGAGCATTATTTGATGCAGGCTGGCTCGCCATTCTACAAAATCAAAGAATCATCATACAGAGATTTTTCAGATGTATATCTATGAATGACTAGTACTTTGACGAATTCGGATACCTGTTCTTGATTGAAGCAGCCATGGCCATGAAAGCCTGCTCCACATTGGTTGCACTTGTTTCCATGAATGGAATACCAATTTCATCAGCGAAAGCCTACATATTATGCAAACTCTATTCACCCATGTATTCATTGTGGGACAGTGTCTTGAATAAAAGGTGTAGCAGACTTCTTACCTGAGCTGTCTCAGTGGAAACTACTTTTTGCGCTGTGAGATCACACTTATTTCCCACAAGAAGCTTGTTTACACTATCACTTGCATATCGATCAATTTCACTCAACCATTGCTTGACATTATTGAAGCTCTCTTGATCAGTCACATCATAAACCACCTGAAAAAATGCCATCAGAACAAGACAACCTTGATAAATAAAAAATGAAATCAATGAACAAGTATAATAAATAATTTATTTCTCACAATTATGCCATGAGCCCCACGATAGTAACTGCTGGTGATTGTCCTAAAACGCTCTTGACCAGCTCTGTCCCACTATATGTAACAAAGCAGGAACATTAGATTCTAAAGGAACTAAAACAAGTTGAGAATGAATCAAAATATATATAGATTAATGATTCTGACTTAATTTCTGTTTCTCTAAATATATGGTAAACAACCCAGACACTCCTGCTAATTGCAATTCCTTTGACAGAGACATAAATTGCCTACGCACTTGGATTTCAAATACTTACAATTTGAAGTTTAATGGTTTTCCCATCCTGTTCCACTGTGCGGATTTTCTACAAGAGAATGCAATCGTCACTGATATACTGCAAACAATGATTACGAAGACATTGAACAGAATGACATGGATCACTTATGAAGTCCACTCCAATGGTACTAATGTAACTCTCAAGATACGAATCATCCTGAAAACCAGAAAAGAACAAAAATAATAAGGAAAAGCCCGTTTTCTTTCATACAGAATGTTATTGCTGGGAAGTTTAAAAGCAATACAAACTAAGAGTCTAACAAATTCAAATCAGAAAATGAGGACAACAAAAATATAGGAAATGCAACATCAAATTCATTCCATTCAACAGCAACAGAAGTTAAGGCAGTCTCAACTTGCAGGCCATAAAAATATTCAGAGGTAATTCCCTTCTGTACGAATATATTGGTAGATGATCTGAATGAAAGAATTCCTATATATTGTCAACAAAACATTTCATATTTAGATCACAGGTCAACAAGAAATAATAAAAGGTTTCTCAATCACAAACAAGCTGAACCTCGGTAAGCCCAAAAATTGAAGGAGAACCCCCCCCCCCCCCCAAACCCTTTACACACACACACGTATATACTTGGGGTCAGAGAGAGCCAACAGGAAACGACCACAACTTATACCAATGATTTTTTTTTATAATTTAAAATCACCAAATTACAGAAGCAGAGCATGCTATCCTTGCCCGTCATCACAAGGATAAAAAAAAGAGGAAAATCAAAGATAAAACAATGCATTTCCAATCCCCGAAAGAAATGAACCAGTAAAAGAGAAACTTAGATGAGGCAAAGG